GGCCGGCGGCGGCCGGGACCGGGACGATGACTCTGGAGTCCATGATGGCGTGTTGCCTGAGCGACGAGGTGAAGGAGTCGAAGCGCATCAATGCGGAGATCGAGAAGCAGTTGCGGCGGGACAAGCGCGACGCCCGGCGCGAGCTCAAGCTGCTGCTGCTCGGTAAGCGGGGCCCAGATCCTGCGGGGGTCAGCCCTACCCCGATCCCTAAGGGTCAGTCCCTGCCTGTTGTGATGGTCCGGGCGGCGCAGATCCCACATTCCTCCATGACCAGCTCCGTGTGTGTTGCCCGCTGCTCTAGATCCCTCCAGGGCAGACCTGCCTGTGCTGTCCAGGTCGGCTCCGAACTCTCCAAGTCAGGGCAGATCTCGGGCTGGCCCCTGCCATGCCGACCAGGAGAGCTGCTCCCTTAGGGCCCAGCCTGAAACCCTCAGTGGTTTTGCTGGTGGTGTCTTATCTCCTCTGGATCTCTCTGCCCAGCCCCTGCTGGTGTTGACCAAGTAGAGTTTCTGTGGTCTGTTCCTGCCTGTAGGGTTCAGGTCAGGGCCTCTGGAACCCTTTGTTGCAATTCCTGCCTGTGCTGTTCAGGTTAGGGCCTGGGTCCTTTGAGGTCAGCCCCTATTCCGCCATCCAGGTCGAGTTCCTGCATCCCTCCTGGTCAGCCCATCTGTCCTGCTGCATTGGCCCCCAGGACCCGTGGGGATTTGCCCTCTGCCCCGCCCCCAAGATCCCCCGCACCTCCTCAGGGGCCAGGCTTGCTCCCTCCCCATCACCTCCCACATCCAGGATCTGCCCACCACTTGGGGTCTTGTTCACTACATGCAGGTGCCCACAGCCCCAGCCATCCTCTCCTGGTCAGCCCATCTGTCCTGCATTGGCCCCCAGGACCCATGGGGATTTGCCCTCTGCCCCGCCCCCAAGATCCTCCGCACCTCCTCAGGGGCCAGTCTTGCTCCCCATCACCTCCCACATCCAGGATCTGCCCACCACTTGGGGTCTTGTTCACTACATGCAGGTGCCCACAGCCCCAGCCATCCTCTTTTTTTGGTACCAGGGATCGAACTCGGGACCTTGTGCTTTCGAGGCAGGCGCTGGAACCACTGAGCTAAATCCCCAGCCCTCCAGCCATCCTCTTGAGGGTCACTGCCCTTTGTCCCAGCCCTCTGCAGGCATGCTCCAGAGTGGAGAACGCTTTCTTTTCCTCCCAGGTTTCCATTTTGCTGTAGGGCTGGGGGACCAAGGAGACACAGTTGTCAGAGTGGCCTGCTGCCTGGCCTGCTTCCTAGCCTCCCCAGCCTGTCCATCCGTAGTGGCGTGCCCATGCTGTCTGGTCCTCTTGGCCTCTCCTGCCTCCCCAGGGAAGCCTCACTGTGTGTCTCTGTCTTCCCGGGGCTGCCCTGTATCCTGAGCTAGTGCCTCAGCTGTCAGGAGTGTTGTCACCCCAAATAAGGGCCAGGAAGGACTGGCCCCTGCTCTGGTTTACATACGAAACAGACACCATGCCCTGCCCACAGTCCCTGGCCCTTTCCCGAGCTCCTGGACCCTGGGAAAGGTGGGGAGTCCCTGTGCTGGGCCCTGAGGCAGCCTTCCTGGGTGAGAGCTACCAAGGGCTGCTTGGAGGGGCTGCTCCATTAACCCCTATGGGTTGAGAGGAGTTGAGTCTGGTGGCAGAGGGGCCTGGCGGCGGACTGGCCAGTGTTGCTGGCAGGAAGTGCATTGCCTCTTGCTGCAGGTCCTGCTCGGCTCCCGGGGCCCAGGTAGAGAGATGCAGTGGGTGAACTGCCTTCCTGTTTTTTTTCTCAGATGTGTCTCCATTCATCTAAAGGCTCTAAAACGGGCCATCTTTCTAGGAAAGACAGAGGGGTGACCTTGCAGCTTGGGGATTCGAGCTGGGCTCAAGATGTGGCTCTCTGGAGTACAGTGTGGCCCCAGCTTTGGCAGTTGGGGGAGACTTTGTTTTGGGCAAGGAGAGAGTTAGCAGCAGCATCCAAGGATGGTACCAGATGGCCTTGCCGTGCGGCTGTGTGACCTCTGGGTGCCCGTCCTCTGCACCCAGCCTATGCACCCTGGCTGTGCTGAAGTTGAGGTTGACAGGGGTTCAGGGTCACGGTCAGGCTCCTGTTCTGCAGCCCTGCTGAGCTGGCTGGAGCTGAGAGGCTGGAGCCAGTGTGGAAGCTACGTGGTCTTTGCCACCTGCTACCCACTTGTGACAGTGGGGCACCTGTGTCCGTAAAGCAGGGATCCCGAACCTGTCTGGGAGGTTGAGGTCAGGGCACAGCAGGGTGCGGCAGGTAGGAGAGGGAGGGTGACCTGTATGACCCAGGGGGACAGATGTGTGTACTGTAAATGCCATGTGGGGTCCAGGGATGTGTGGGTGTGGGTGGGGAGGGCTTCACAGAGGAGGTGATGTTGACCTGGACCCCAAGATGACAGGGGCCAAAGACTCCTTTGGGACCAGTGAGCCCTCAGAAAACCTCCCATGTGAGCGGCCTTTGGTGCCAGACTGAGGACCCTTGCCAGGAGCTCTCTGTGACCTAGCTGCAGAGTGGGGCTCTGTCCTTGCTATGGGGCTTTCTCATAGTCCCCATCTGGCTGCCCTGAGGGAGTGCTGTCCCTGTTTACAGGGACACACCGGGACCAGCAGGGCTGAGATGTTTGCTTTGCCCTGAATTCCTTGTCACTCAGCCCCTACCCTCTGTCTCCTGGAGCTTCTGTCCTCCCCCCAGATTCGGGAGAAGCAGGCCCTGAGGGTACGGCCATGACCTCCTGTTTGTGACCAGGTGGAGTGGTTCTGGGACACAGCTTGTCCACTTGGCCCTGTCCGTCCACTGCCTCCTGGGCTGCACGCAAGCGTAGGGCTGGTTGGGTTTCAGTGCCCTTTATCAGGCGCTGTGCACACTTGGGTCAGGGTCCTCTCCATGGGATATCCCTGACCTTCACCCGCTCCAGGGCAGGAGCTCCCCAGTTGTGATGGGGGAGATCACCCCGTATTTGAGACTTCCTGCCACACAGTGGCATGGGACATGAAACGCTGGGGCTGCAAAGCTGGGGTATCACCATTTGGGTGCCTGGGAGTGAATGTTTTTGTTGGAGGATCCCAAGCTATATGCTTGGGTGAATATATGAATATATCTTGGGGTTCACTCGGGATAGTATTCCAGGGTCACCCTGTCTGATGCTCTTGCTGGTGATAATGCGTGGGGCTGCAGCTGCCACTGTCCTGGGGTTCCCTGCAGCCTTGAGAGCCCCTGATTACCATAGGCACAGAGCAGCTACACCAGCATGGAGCACTTGGCACTGGGTCCCCACAGGCACGCTGGGCTGCACACTGGGTCACGCACTGGGTCATTGTCGCTTGCTGTTACTTGGTAGTGAGGCTGTGGGCCCCCTTCCCTGCAGGCAGGTTGCGCCTGGACAGTTGGGGACTTGCCTGGGAATGCCAGGTCCCGCAGGCCCGTGCCGCTAGCGAGGCTGAGCAAGCCGTGCAGAGCTTTCTAAATAAAGCAGGGCGGTTCGCTCAGCTGGCTTCCTGTCCGCCCCACCGCCCACCGGCCACCCGGCAGCCGAAGGCTGGATCCAGCCCTGGGAGGCTGGGCGTGCCCCGGCCCTGAGGGGCTCAGAGGTGGCTGCTGGCTCCTGGGAGGCTCGGTGTATGTCCGGGGGCTATGTCCCTACAGCTGGTAGGAGCGGGAGGGCCCTTAGATGGCCGGGGAGGGGGCCTCCTCCCAGGATGTGGTCTTTGCTGGAGGCTGAGTTGTCATCCACCCTGGGCTGCTTTCTCGGGCACAGGGCGGAGAGCGACGTGGAGACCCTGTGGCAGGAGCACGGAGCTCAGATTGCTGGGCCTCCCTGCCTATCCCTGAGGGCGGGGACACCCTGCCCTCCCCGGAGCCTCAGGCCCAGTCCTTGAGCTGAGCCGATTTGGGGCAGAGGCCACTTCTAGGCTGGCAGCATGGGGCGGCCCTCCTGCCAGGCCAGGCCTGTGCTGGGGTTCAGGTGGCTGGGGGATGGCCAGTTGCAGGCCCTAAGTATGGAATGCACAGGTCTCAGGCCCTGAGGCTCTTCCTGTCCGCTGTTACTGTGGAGAGTGCAGGAAGTGCCTGCGCTGGGTGCTGATTTGCACCATGTAGTCCTGCGCCTAGGGGCCAGGCCACCCAGAGGCATGGTGATGGAGAGCCTTCCTGCTTCCTGGAGGGTGGCCTGTCCACACGCACCTACCCCAGGCAGACCTGGGGGCCCTCAGGGCTCCTGGTGACAGCCAGTCTCCTCTAGGTCCCCAGCAGGCCCTGGTTTCCATGACAGTGGGGGACAGTCCCCACCAGAGTGTCCTCGGGACGCCCTCATGTCAGGTTGTGATGTGGTGGGCCGGGCCCCTGCCCTTGGGGCTGTCCTTCTTGCCTGCTGGCATCTGCCGCCTCTGTCTTCCAAAGGCACCTGTCAGGTCATTCCTGTCAGGAGCCGGCAGGTCACCTGGGCCTGGCTGTGTCCCCCCAACCCAGGCTAGGGCACAGTGTGGGGGCTGAGTTGCAGATCCTTGTTGCTAGCTAAGTGATGTCAGGTCTGTGCCTCAGTTTCCCCAAGGAGGGGAGCTATGACTCACACGGACACTCATTGGCTCACAGCACCCTGCACACTGGGGTCACTGGGGCCAGGTCGTTCTGTGTGGGGGCATCCTGGCACTACAGGGTGCTGAGCCCCACCCGCTCCATGCTGGGAGCTCCCTAGTGTGACAACAACACGTGGCCCCAGTTGCCACCCAGTGTCCCCAGGCTGAGGACTGCTAACCTGTGTCTCACGGCCTGGGTCAGCTCCCAGTTCTGAGTCCCCTGCCCAGGGCATGGGCACGCAGCCTTGCAGACTCCAGGTGCTGGTTGGTGGCCATCACTGGTGGGGACACTCAGTGCAAGCCTGCCTGGATTCTGCCATCACCACCCCTGGTGACCCCTGCACTGACCTGAGCTGCTGGACCTGGGCTGCCTCTCCCAGCCCTCCTAGCCCACTGCCCAGCGCTCGCCGATACTGGGTGGGCTGCATCCTGACTGAGGCCGTAGCCTCGTGTCCTCATCTATCAAGTAAGGACTGAGTGACGAGGCCAGGGGCGCTTGGGCTGAGTAGCCACAGCATGCTCCATCCTCGCCAGGGAGCAGCCTGAGCAGCCTGGAGGAACGAGCTGCAGAGTGCGGGCTCTGAGGCCCTGGGGTGGGGAAGGAGAGGCAGCTCGGCCTTCTGATGCCCGATCCTCCCACCTGGGTCTCACCGAGCTTGGTGACAGCTGGTGAGGTGGGTAGGCAAGGCTCTGTCCTGTCCCCCAGATAGGACTGCAGCGTGAGTCTTGAGTGTCCCCCGAAGGGCTGTGTTAGACTTGGTTCTCAGTGAGGGAGGGCGGCCTGGGGGGAGGCCTTCAGGTGACTGGGTGTCCCCTGCAGAAGACTGTAGGCCCCCACTGTGTCGTGGCCAGGAAGGGAGCAGGTTCTCCCCACCTTGCATGATGCCACGATGCGCTGCCCAGACGAGAGGCCCAGAGCAGTGAGGACCCCGACCTGACTGGAACTCCCAGGACTCGGAGCCCCAGCAGACCTGGCTCCATCAGCTGCTGGCCTGGGGAGCTCACGCCGCTGCCCACGGTCGGGTCAGCGCTGAGTTGTGGTCGCTGGAGACTCACCAGGTCTTGGAGTCATTGAACCCCAGCTGGTGGGGATGGAGGTCACCAAGAGGTGTGGGGTGAGTGGCGGCAGCCTGGTCAGCCCCATCAGTGTCACCAGGGAAGGGGCAGACTGCCAGTGCTTGGTGGTGTGGCCGTGGCTCACTGCTCGTTTCCGTGACACACCTGTAAGATTGGCCCCACCCGCGCCTCCTCACGTGGTTCCCTGGAACCCTGGGCTGGGCAGAGATTGTGTCCCTGTGGAGACCTCATGGGATGGGGAGAGACAGAAGGCCCAGGCTGGCAGCAAGAGGCTGAGTGTTCTGCCCTGCTGTTAGTGGCTGTGTGACCTCAGGGAGCCATGTAATTGCCTGTGCCTCGGTTTCCCTGCCTGTCAAATGAATGGGACTGGCTGTGATAGTCACCTCCTGGGGTTCTGTGGGTGAAGTGGGGTGATGGAGCCAGTCTGAAGCTGGGCTGTGGCCTTGCCCTTTCACCATGGCAGTGGCTGTGGGGTGCCCTGTGACCTTGCGCCTTCTGGCAGGGTGAGCCCTTCCTGCACCGTCCGGTGCCCAATGTCAACCTGTCATGGAGTGGTGAGTCCTCAGGTGCTTCCTCGCAGGGAATGGGCAGAGCGGTCTCTGGGGCCATGGTGGGCACCGACCCCACTCCGGGGCTCCCCCTCTGACTGCAGCAGCTCCAGGTACCCTGCCCTCACCTTGTGCCTGGGGGCAGGATGCGGCACATGGGTCCAGGTACCCGGAGGTTCGGGTGGCCCGGCCAAGCTCTGCAGCTGTCGGGGGCAGTTCCACACCCCGTCCGTCCCTCTCCCCGCTGTGCACTGTTGGGATGGGATACCCTCCATCACCGCTGCCTGCCACGGGCTCTGGAGCTGCAGCAAACCTGCATGGGTGTCTGCAGTGGGTGCGGAGGCCAGAGCAGCCCTCCATGGTGAAGAGTACGGAGCTGAGGGTCTGCGGAGGGTGCTGAGGACGAGTCCAGAGTGAGGTGCCCCCACGTTTTCTCAGGAGGCCTGGGCTGGCCCTGCACTCTGGTGGCAATTCTGGAGCCAGGCTGAGCTGGGCAGTGCAGTGTGGGGACAGTGTGTTCAGCGGGGCCCCCAGGAGTAGGGTCTCCCATGCAGGTATGAGGTCCCAGGCAGGACCTTGGGCTCCAGAGATGTCGGGTGTGGCGCTAGGGGATCCTGGGCCTGCGTTCCAGCTCCCAGGGTGACAGGATGTGACAGGGGCTGTGTTGGCTCTGGGAGACGGGCAGCATGGACAGAAGGTTGAGCCAGGGCACCTGTGACAACAAGCCTGTAGCCCTGAGCTGCGCCTGGACCTGGCACCAGCTGCTCTGTGGTGGCCGGGTGCCCTGCATTGACCAGAAGCTCCTGCCAGCTGGACCTGGCTCCTTCTGGCCCATCTCTCTCTGCAGCCGCCACTGGCCTTGGTCACTGTTGGCCCCAGGCACACAAGACGAGGAGCTGTTCCTGCAGGAGGCCACCCGGCTGCAGAGACGCTGTGCCCCAGGCTGGCCTCACCTCCCTGGGCCCTGAGCAGCCTTGGTTCCAGCTGTCCCGGGCACCGGTCACTGTGTCCCCAGGCATGTGCCCGCCCCACCCTCTCGGCGTTCCCGGGACTGTGCCTGTCCTGGGCACGGTGGGGCCTGGGCTTCAGTGGCATGGTCTGGGCAGGACTTGCAGAGTGCCTGTGTGTGCCCCCTTGTCAGTGAGCTCAGAATCAATGGAGAGCCCCATGGAGGCCTTGGTGAGCCATCACGGTCATGGGCCTCTGCCTTTGTAAAATAGAACAGCACCGGGCAGTTCCACCCTGGCCTGGGCAGAGACCTGCAAGGGCTCTGTCTTCACAGCATCCTTGGTGTGCTCAGCTGATCTTTCCAAGTCAATTAAGATTTTTGTTTCTTTTTTTTGGTACTAGGGATTGAACTTGGGACCTTGCACTTGCAAGGGAGGTGGCGGCACCACTGAGCTAAATCCCCAGCAAGTCTTTCCAAGTTAGACATAGGCTTTGTGGCCCAAGGGCCCTGTGCCCAGGTCCCAGGGGCCCACTGGCATGCTGCCCTGCACAGGGGCTGCCAGTGAGTGTGTGTACCTCTACTCTTCCTAGGTGGGACTGTCACCTCGAGCTGGCATGCAGGATCTTTTTCTAATGGCATTTTGTCAATAGTGAGTGGTCTGACCCCACGCAGTGCTGGACCATGTTGGGCACATCTGTGGCTATCACCGCTGGGGGTGCTCCTGGCATGGAGCGGGTAGAGGCTGGGGATGGCGCTCAGCACCCTGCAGAGTCCAGGATACCCCACAGAGCATGCTGTCCCCAGACCTCAGCAGCACCCAGGGGAGCCTGCTCTAAGAGCCCCCCCAGTGCCTCAAGCCCACTCTGCTGAGCCAGCCGTGGGAAAAGGGGCGCCCCTCACACATACCCTGGCTTCGGCCTGCCTGGAGTCTGGACACAGATTCTGGGGGCAGGCAGGTGTGAGGAGGACGGACGAGGTGGGCTGGGACTGCCCTGGCCTGACCATCTGAGCTCTTCCTTCTGGAAAGGCCGCTGGAAACAGCACCGGGGGCCCCTGTGCTCTCCCCGGGGGAGGCACTGCCTTTCCAGGTGATCCTGCGCCCCTCACAGCGCTCAGCTCAGTGCTGGATGCATTTGCATGTGGGATGCAGGTGAAGCCTGGGCTGGTTCAGCACTGGCTCCTCTTGGGACAGGACACATCGGTGCTTTGTGAGGGATCCTGGTTGGTCACCAGCGCATGACCATGTGGCAAGGGGCCCCTGGGAACCAGGCTGTGTGTGGTCACTGTCACATGCATAGTTGCCTGTACCAGGCACCTGCTGGGGACAGGTTGTGAGGGGGTGGCACAGTGAGCCTGGGGTCCTGGGTTTCAGGGCCTGCTGGGCCCCCAGGCAGGAGCAGGCTCAGGTTGGCAGGGCTCAGGCAGATGCAGGGACAGAAGGGGCAAAGGTTTAGTTCAGTGGGACAAATGGCAGGAGGTCCCGAGCTCCCCAGGGGCCCAGGGCTGTGTGCTTCACACTGAGAGCCCGAGAGACTGGAGCAGGAGCCAGGCTGCCGCGCCTTACCTGTGGCAGGTGTCACAGCCTCGGGAGAAAACCACCTGGGCTGAGAAGACCTACACTCAGTACCACCCTGTTTCTGGGGCTCAGAAGCCTGGGCACTCAGTGGTGTCCATGCTTTGTGCTTGGAGCTGGGCGTGTGCACGCCTGTCATCCCAGCACTCTGGGCGGCTGAGGCAGGAGGATCCCAAGTTCCAGCCCAGCTTGCCCATCTTAGCAAGACCCTGTCTCAAAATAAAAAATAAAAAGGGCTGGGGATGGAGCTCAGAGTGAGGAGGTGGCCCTGGTGCCCTGCAGGCACGGGCGAGAGCGGGAAGAGCACGTTCATCAAGCAAATGCGCATCATCCACGGCGCCGGGTACTCGGAGGAGGACAAGCGTGGCTTCACCAAGCTGGTCTACCAGAATATCTTCACCGCCATGCAGGCCATGATCCGAGCCATGGACACGCTCAAGATCCTCTACAAGGACGAGCAGAATGAGGTGAGTGGCTGGGGCCACCCAGGGAAGTCAGCGCACAGCCCAGTGACTCCTCTGACCCTGGGCACCCTCGCTTCCCTCCCTGTGCGTGTAAGATGGGTTTGAGGAATAACTCAAGTGCCACAGTTCACCTGTGTAAAGGGTGGAGCTCCATGGTTTTTTGTTTGGTTTTGGTTTTGGTTGGTTTTTTTTTTTTTGCAGTACCAGAGCTGGAACCCTTCCTACTGAGCTACGTGCCCAGCTCTTTATTTTAAGTCAAGGTCTCCAAAGTTGCTAAGTCACCCAGACTGGCCTTGAACTTGGGATCCTCCTGCCTGAGCCTCCCAGTGTTGGGATTACAGGCATGAGCTACACACCTGGCTTTTCAGTGGTTTTTAATATATTTTCTCAGAATTATGGAGCCATCGCCACTGTCTAGTTCGAGAACGTTTTATCACCATTGGAGAAATCCCCATCTGTCCCCATGAGCTGTCACCTGTCCCCTCCCCAGCCCCAGCACCCCCGAGTCCACTTCCTGTCTCTGGAGTCGCCTGTCCTGGGCGTTTCCTGTCCATGGAGCGCACGTTGTGTCCTCTGTGTCTGGCGTCTCTCACTGAGCACGGGTCCCTCCACGCTGTGGAGAGTGTCACAGCCTCACTCCTGTCCTGGCTGAGTGATTCTCTGGTGTGTGGACAATTTCGCTGTCTGCATCCCTTCACCAGTTGAAGGGACGTGGGCTGTTTCTGCTTCTGGCTGCTGTGAGTTGAGCTGCTGTGAGCGTGGCTGTAAGCGTCTGAGTGGACCTGTTGGGTACAGAGCTAGGAGTTGGACTTGGCAGAGCCTTGGAGGGAGCCACTGGACTGTCACCATGGCCGCAGCACCACTTCCTATGCCCATGAGCTGGGCTCTTGGTGCTACTTGCTGCTGGCCCCAGCCCTTCCAGATGGGGAAGCTGACTTGCTTTAGTCAGTCTTTCTTCAGGGGCTTAGGATTCAGCCCCAGAAACTTGGCTGGGGCTGACGTTTGGTATGGGAGTCTACATTCATCCAAATGTGGTTCCAGAGAGGGTGCCCATATGTCCCGGTGCCCATGTGCTGGCCCCGCCCTCTGAGGGCAGCTGACGGCAATCACAGGGAAGGGGCCAGGTGCCAGGCTGCGTGGCACAGAAGCTGAGGGAGCCTGCTGGGTGTCAGGGCACAGTGGCCGGGCTCCCTTGCTTTCTTTTGGGTTCTGCCCGGGCTGTGTGTCGGCCCTGCCTTGGTGCAGGCTCAGTGTCTCTGCAGTGTCATCTGCCCTGCGTAGCGCGTGCATGTGAGTGTGCATGTGAGCACGTGTACATGCCCCTGTCTCCCTGCTTATCCCCCTCTGACAGGTGGAGGGAGGGCTGGGCCTGGTCGTGACGGTACCTTGCAAGGAGGGGCCTGTGCCCAGTGTGATGCGTAGCCATTGCTAGTTTGGCAGAGGAGGAGGCACCCCGGGCAGAATACAAGCCCTGGAGTCCAGTAGTGTCAGGGCTAGCGTGCACGGTGTGTGACTCGGTTTCCCTACCTGTAAACTGGGGACATGGAGCCCAGTGTCCTGGCACCCTGGAAGGAATGGAGGGCCTGATGCTGGCTGGCTGCCCACCCAGTGCTCCCCGTGTCCAGTAGTGTTTGGGCTGACCCCTTCCTGCTCCCCGGTGTTCTCATGACCCTGTGCCGAGTCCCATCTCTGAGGCCCGGCGAGGTCTGGCGGCTGCTGGCGTGGCTGGCCCTGTGAGTTTGTGGCCTCCCCTCCCCTGCAGGCCAATGCGCTGCTGCTCCGGGAGGTGGACGTGGAGAAGGTGACGACCTTCGAGCACCAGTACGTCAGTGCCATCAAGACTCTGTGGGGCGACCCCGGCATCCAGGAGTGCTACGACCGGCGGCGAGAGTACCAGCTCTCCGACTCTGCCAAGTAGTGAGTATGGCTTTGTCCCTTCAGGGCCCCACGGCCCACTGCTGACCCTGAGGCTCTGAGGGGCCACTGGCCTCCCTTGCCTGCTTGACCAAGCTGCCAGCCCCGGGGCTGTGGGGGCAGAAGGACTCGGGGGAAGGGGGCAGTGGAATGAATGGGTGGGCCGCCCTGGCCACTCACCTTCCTCTGCCTCATCCTGGGGAACTGGGGCTCCTGGGCTCCCGGCCTGGGGCGGGAGGTGGTTGGTACCTCGGTGACTTCACCTGCTGTCTTGCAGCTACCTGACTGACGTGGACCGCATTGCCACCTCGGGCTACCTGCCCACACAGCAGGACGTGCTTCGGGTGCGCGTGCCCACCACCGGGATCATCGAGTACCCCTTCGACCTGGAGAACATCATCTTCAGGTGCTTGAAGGAGGGCAGAGCGGCCTCCATGAGGCTGGGGACCCACACACGGCCACCGTGTACGAGGCCAGGAACACAGGGTTCCTGCTGGCCCTGGGTCAGGAGTCTGAGGTCGGGCAGGACAGGGCCAGCTCACCCCAGTCCCTACCAGCATCCGGTGGTGGACCGGTCCTCAGTGTCCTTGACTTCTAGAAGCTCAGCCCATCTCTCCATTGTCACATGTTTGCTCCCTGTGTACGTGTGTGCATCCAGACCTCTCCTCTTAGAAGGACCCCAGGCCGGGAGGGCCTGTCTGCCAGTCCATTGCCATGGCACCTGGTCCACAGGTTGGCCCCTGTCATCACCCTCCTGTCCCTCCAGGGTTACCTGGCACATCCCGTCTCTCGGGGTGTCTCTTTGCACAGGAAACAAACAGCCCACAATTGGGAAGAGAATGTCCCCGAGGATCACTGTGTGTCCCCCAAGTCATCTTGGGAGTCACCCTCCCACTGCCCCTGGGCCCTTTCAGAGCCACTAGCTGGTTTTGCCCACGTAGGATGCCTTCTTGTCCAGCACCGGGATGGCTGCTTGTGCCCTCTGCAGCTGCAGGGATGACCCCCTCCCTGTGCAGGGACCCCACGGTTCACCTGGGTCCCCACCGGCAGCGTCAGAGCTAGCATCCCATTTCCAGTCCTGTGTATAAACAGGCACCATGACAGATACCTGTGCTCGGAACCCCAGCGCTGGAAGTCATTCTGGCCTCGGGTCCCCTCGGTGTTTCTGGGCTCCAGCTGTCCCGGTCCACTGGGAATCTGCTGCTCCGAGGCCGGGCTCTCCAGGCCTTGGGTGTTCATAGGGCCAGAAACAGTCGGCCTCTGTGCCTGCAGCTGCTTAGGGTCAACTCACTGTGCATACAGAGCACTGGGGAAGCGGTGTCTGTCCCGAGTGTGGGACTTAACATGTGTGCCGTCCATGTGGCAGCGGGCGTTACAGATCACCTGGCCAGGATTTAGAGCCAATGGGGGTCGTGTGCAGGAGCTCCCATGGCTTCGGGGCCGCTGTTCTGGTCAACCTGGGCCCATGGGGAATCTCGTGTGGCTCCAGTACGCTGGCTCGTGGTTCTGGAGGACCCTGGCCACGCCCGGCTGAGTGGGCGAGTTGGGGGGCACCCTAGCAGGTGTGGGTGGGGCACAGCCTCGGGACTGACACCCGACCCCTTCCAGGATGGTGGATGTGGGCGGACAGAGGTCTGAGCGCCGGAAGTGGATACACTGCTTCGAGAACGTGACATCCATCATGTTTTTGGTGGCCCTCAGCGAGTACGACCAGGTCCTGGTGGAGTCGGATAATGAGGTGGGCGCAGGCCCCGGAGCTGTGGGGGGGGGGGGGGGGGGCGAGCCGCTCTGCCTCTCTGCCCTCGCCAACGCCCGTGCCTCCTGCAGAACCGCATGGAGGAGAGCAAGGCGCTGTTCCGGACTATCATCACCTACCCCTGGTTCCAGAACTCCTCCGTCATCCTCTTCCTCAACAAGAAGGATCTGCTGGAGGACAAGATCCTCTGCTCGCACCTGGTGGACTACTTCCCCGAGTTCGACGGTGAGCGCGCAGCTCTGGGCCTGCCGTGGTTCGCTGGAGCTGGAGCTGCGCGGTAGGGGCCACCGCCGACTGGCGCCCTCTGGGTGTCCTGAGGCCCGAAAGGAGGGGATTGGAGTTGAGTGGTTAAAGCTAGGCAGGTCCAGAGGGGCAGAGAGGAGTGGCGGTGGGGAGCTGGTGCCAGGTGGCCAGGCTTCCAGCTGCGGAGCTCCAGAGGGCTCTGGGGGCGGGGCCTCCGGGCGGGGCTTCCGGGCGGGGTCACGAGCGCCCCTCCCCCGCAGGGCCGCAGCGGGACGCGCAGGCAGCGCGCGAGTTCATCCTGAAGATGTTCGTGGATCTGAACCCCGACAGCGACAAGATCATCTACTCGCACTTCACTTGTGCCACCGACACGGAGAACATCCGCTTCGTGTTCGCAGCCGTCAAGGACACCATCCTGCAGCTCAACCTGAAGGAGTACAACCTGGTGTGACCGCTGCGCTCTGGGTGACTGCGGGAACAGCGCCGCCTCCTCTCCACCCGCGCCTCCCTCCCGGGGCGGGCGGCCACCTTGACTTGTGGCTCGACTTTTTTTTTCTAAAAAAATGAGAAAAATGAGAAAAAATGACACAGCTGAGACGCCGGTGTGCCCGTGCCCGGGACACCGCCCTCGTCCCTGTGGGCCCTCCTGCACTGGGACGCGGTGTGGGTGTGGGCGGGAGCCGCGCTGCCTCGTCCTCCTGTTAAGTTATTGTGCCCGCCCCCGCCCTGCGTCCCCCACTCCAAGAAGCGGGGGTGGCGCCACCAGGCTGCCCACCCCGGGAAGTGCCTAAATTTTTTTTTCTTTTTTGAGGAAAAGAGTAAAACCAATTCACCTGGCTTTGTGGGTCTCAGAAACCCCCAAGTCCATCACGGTGCCCAAGTTGCTGTCCCCTCCTGTTCCTCCCCGGGTCCCGAACCCAGGTCCTGACCGGACCAGACCACAGAGCCCAGTGTGGCTCCCGTGACCTGTGGGGCCAGTGGGCGCCAAGGGACTGTCCCACCCCGTGCGGCTCTGGGACTCTGGGAGAAAGCAGGCTTGGAGGGGCATAGCAGCCTTTTCGCTCCTGTTTTTAACTAAACTTTTTTTTTATTTTGTGGATGTGACTGGTTTGACAACCTCGAGGGTGGGATGGGGACATTTTCAGGTTATTCTCAGGTCTGTCCCCGAGAGAAGAGAGGGAACGCTGCTGGTGGCTCCTCAAGTGTGCGCCCTTGTCCCTGACGAGCCTCAGAGCCAGAAGCCAGCACTTGCACTTTGGTTGTGGAGAGCGGCAGCGGGTGGGGGTGGGGCGACAGGTGGGAGCCAGCCAGGGCTCCACACTGAGTCTGAGCGGGGGCCACCTGCCCTGGGCACGGAGGCTGGGCCCTCGGGGGCTCTGGGGGCGGAAAAGCCTTTCCTTCTGTCATCCACTGAACACGACACTACATAGCTTTCATTTTATTGTGCTTTTTTTTTTTCTTTTTGCACACTTGTATGTACCGGGAACGGATTGCCAGCCATGCCTTTGACTGGGGTCTCTGTGCCCAGCCTGCGCCCTCCCCTCAGGCCTGGAGGGAAAAATGGTGGGGACAGGGAGGCATTGGAAGGGAGGGCCCTGTGTTTCTGGCAGCCAGCCCTGGGGGACCACTTCTTCACACCCGGGGGCCTCCTGTCGCCTGCAGGGCCCTTTCTGTGCCGTGTTCCTGCCAGGAGGGTCTGTGCCATAAAGTCCCGAGTCGGGGCCTGGCTGGGTACGAAGGGGCTCTGGCCATGCAGCCCAGCACCTCGACATCACAAAAAGGGAATGGCTTGGGGCAGCGGCGCCCTGAGCCAGCAGTGTTAGCCTTGGAGGTGCAGCCCTGGAGAGGCTGCCATGCCAAGGTCCTGGGGGCGCAGGGCCGTCTCGGGAGAGCCCGGACAGTAGTCCTTGAAGCAGTGCCAACCCCAGGGCCACCGCCCTCCGGCCGCGTCCAGTTCCGGGTCCACAGCCCAGCCACAGGGAGCCCCTGCTCCAGGCACCCTCCCCAGATGTCCCTGTGCCAATGCCGGTGTCCAAGGGCAGCCAGCCAGCCTGGCACACACACCCTGGCCGTGCTTGTGTATTCCACAGTCCTGATTTCAGATAACCTAAACCTTAAACTATTTAAGAAAGACTATTCTATGAGACGCTGTTTTTAAACCTCTCGTCATTTGAAATGCATGTGCTGAGGGGAGGGGACAGGGAGGCATTGGGCGCCGTGGCTTCAAGCCCCCAGCCTGCAGCCCTGGCGGGGTGGACACAGGGTCCCTGTAGCAGGCCGGGTCCTGACCTGCGAATCCACAGGTCCCTGAGGGAAACTGACTTTTCATATCTTTCTCCTGAAATGAATTGTTTTAAATTGGAATAAATTTTGTTCCTAAATGTGGTGGCTCTCTGATTTATGTCCTGATGCCAAGGAAGGTAGGGATGGAAGCCAGGCCTGTCTCCCAGTGGATCCTCTGGTGTCACCTGAGGCCTGATCTGAGCCCATCTGACATGGCCCTGACTTCAAGGTTCTCTGTGGTGGCAGCCTGGAACTGATGGCCCTAGAAATTGTCCCCAGAAACCCTGACTCCTCAGCCCTGGCCCCACCATCCTCCTTCCTGTCTCTGTGACAATACTGGGGCCTCCTGGGAGTGGGGCCCCCCTATGTGTGTCCTGTATCAGGCCGTGTTCTCTCAGCAGCATGGCCTCAAGGCCCATCCATTCTGAAGGAGGTGTCAGAATCCTTTTCATGGCTGAGTAATATTCCAGTATGCAACGGAACCAGGCTGTGTGCATCTACTCACCCATCCATAGACACTTATTTGGGCTGTTCCACCTCTAGGCTGCTGGGAATCATGCTAATCGTGGGTGTAAAAGTATTCCTTCAGCCCCCAGGGTTGGGTTCTTCTGGGTCCACACCCAGCAGTGGAATTGACAGGTCACATGCTAATCCTATGTTCACCATTTGAAGGACCTGCCCTGCCCCCTCCCCACAGCAGCTGTACCATGTGACCCACCTGCCAGGTGAGCACAGAGTTCCAGTTTCTTGCTGTCCTTGCTCAGGTGTACGTGACATGATTGAGAAACAGTGAATGTGTTAGAATCTGTAACAGTAAAAGCCACGCTGGCATGAATCCCCCAAACCCTCCCCCTCATGACACACCCATCATCTCTACACTTTCTTCAGTAGTTTTGAGTGTTTAGCTTTGCTCTCCTGGCTGCCTAGATGTCCTGTCATGTCGTTTTGACTTTGGGGAGGAGCTGGAAGTCACACGGTGCCAGATCCGGTAACTAAGATGGACGAAGACACAGTGACATGTTTTTCAAGCCTGCCTTTTGGTGAGATGGCGCTCCACAGCAGCATTTGGCCAGTTTATATCATACCCTGTAAGGACCCTCAGGAAAGAGGACTCCAGAGTGCTGCAGAAGTGGCCAGAACCATGGGATCAGTGTGTCTGAAGTGAGGACAGGATTTTGAGGGGGATTCATGGTGATGTCTTTCACTATAGTACATTTAAAAATGTAAATATTTACTGTACATTTGGATCACACCCTGCATTGTCCATTGGTCAGGGAGACCTTGAGGGCCCACTGTGCAGGATGCTGCAGACATGGGGGTGAAGCACTTACACCATCCCGACTCTACCCTGACAGGGGACTAGGGGCTGGGGGCTGGGCAGGATGGGGCGCTGGGGGCTCTCAAGACTGGCCCCTCAGAAATGACCTTCATGGGGGATGGGAAGTGAAAGAGATTCTGTACCTGAAGAGGAGTCCCAGGTTGGGAGCATAGCTGTGCAAAGCCCCTGGGGTATGATGGAGTCAGCCTGTTGCAGAAGCAGCAAGGAGACCATGTGGCTGGAGCAGAAGGAGCAAGGGGCAGAGGGGGAGGAGAGGAGGCGGGGAGAGGACTGGCCGGCATGCAAGGCCCTGTGGGCCACAGGGAGGACCTGGGCTTTGGCCCAAGGGAGGTGGGTGGGAGCCACGGAGGGCTGAAGGCAGAGGGAGGGACCTGACTCACTGCTCACGGCGCCCTCTGGTGGCGGCTGCGGGAGGATAGACTGCGGGGGATGAGGGTGGGAGCTGGGGACCAGAAAGTGAGGGGGATGAACCAGGCCAGAAGCAGAGGTGGAAGGAGTCAGATTGGTATGTGGAGGGGGCGGGGGGAGAGGAAGCAGGGCGGAAGTGGACGTTACAGGTGCGTGTCCTGTCCCGTAATGCCCTGCAGGTGTCGCCCAAGACAGCCCTTGGCCCCAAGGTCCCAGAGCCTGGACTCCAGCGCACACCCACCCCATGGCCAGGCTCTGGGCGGTCGTGAGCAGTGCTGCTGTGAATATCAGCGTGTGAGTATCTGTGTGAGTCCCTGTCTCCAATTCTTTTGGGTACATACTTGGCAGGAGACTTTCAAAAGTGACAAAAGTTACATATAATTTTTAGAGTTTCTGGATAACGTTGAAATCCATGAAAGGGCCAGGGATTTAGCTCAGTGGTTCCGGCGCCTGCTGCGCAAGCACAAGGTCCCAAGTTTGATCCCCGGTACCCAAAAAAACCCCCACTAAAAACTAAAAACAAAACAAAACAAAAAAAAGATCAAGACCTGTCTGCTCTTCATTTGTTGGGGCCCGGGATTTAGCTCAGTGGTTCCGGCGCCTGCCTTGCAAGCGCAAGGTCCTGAGTTCGATCCTCAGTACCAAAAAAAAAAAAAAAGAATGCATGAAATCCATGAAAAACAAGGAAGAGCTGGGCTGGGGATTTAGCTCAGTGGCACCACGCCTGCCTCGCAAGCACAAGGACCTGAATTCGATCCCCAGTACCAAGAAAAAGGAATAGGGATGTAGTTCATTGTGAAGGAAAGAAAGTGATAATGATAAGAGAATTGATTTATGAAGCTAGTGTAATAATCCAAAATATGTACTCACAAAATACATGAATCAAAAGCAGAACAAAGGAGAAGTAGACAATTACACAATTATATTTCAAGATTCATCATTTCTCCCTCTGTAATCTATAGGGGAACCAAAGTCAGCATGCAGCTGGGCATAGTGGTGCACTCCTGTCATCCCAGTGCTTGGAGGCTGAGCCAGGAGGATCTTCATGAGTCAGAGGCCAGCCTGGGCTACATAGTGAGTTCAAGGCCAGCCTAGACTACATAGTGAGAACACACACACACACACACACACACACACACACACACACAAAGCAACAACAAAAAAGCAAACCTCAAAAGAAACAGAAAATACTTTGAACAGAAAGGTAATAAAAGATATAACCTATCAAAAATTTTAGTGTCCAGGGGCTGGAGATTTAGCTCAGTGGTTCTGCTGCCTGCCTCACAAGCACAAGGTCCCAAGTTCGATCCCCAGTATCAAAAAAAAATTTAGGATCCAGCTAAAACACTGTTTGAGGGGAAGGTATAGCCTTAATTGCTCATATTGGAAAAGGAGGTCCCTCCGGGCACAAATACCTCCGAGACACGATGGGTTTGGTTCCAGGCCACTACAAGAAAGCAATTATTGCAATAAAGTGAGCCATGCCAATTACGGTTTTTTTCAGTAGATTTTACCATATTGTAGTCTATTAAGTGTGCCATAGCATCGTGTCCAAAAAAGTACATATCTTAATTTTATTTATTTATTTATTTATTTATTTATTTATTGGTACTGGGGATCGAACTCAGGACCTTGCGTTTGTGAGGCAGGCAGTGGAACCACTGAGGTAAACCCCCGACCCACATATCTTAATTTTAAAATACTTTATTAAAAAATGTTGACGATCATCTCAGCTGTTGGAAAAAATGGCTCCTAAAAGACTTGCTCCATGCAAGGTCACCACTAACTGTCAATTTGTAAATACTACAGTATCTATGAGCACAATACAACAAAGCACTCCAAAATGAGGTTATACTCGAGGTTAATATTTTCATGTTCTACCTTGAGAAATTAGAAGTGAGCAAAATAAACTCAAAGCAAGCAAGCAATAAAAGATAAGAGCAAAAATATCTATGAAGCAAAAAGAAAGCCAATGTAGAAGAATCAATAAAACCAAAAGCAGTTGCCGGGTGTGGTGATGCACACCTACAATCTCAGCACTTGGGCGGCTGAGGCAGGAGGATGACCATGAGTTTGAGTCCAGCCTGGATGACATAACAAGAATGTCAAAGAAGGAGGAGGAGGAGGAGGAGGAGGAGGAGGAGGAAAAGTATTACATAGCTAGGTGTTGTAGTGCACGCCTATTATCCCAGCACTCTGAGAGGCTGAGGCAGGAGGATCACGAGTTCAAGTCCAGCCTGGACAATTTAGTGATGTAGTGACATCCTGCCTCAAAATAAAAAAGAAAAAAGGGCTGGGTTGTAGCTCAGTGCAAAGGGCCTGGGTAATTCAGAAGAAAAAGGGGAAAGAGGAGGAGAAAGGGAAGAGAGTGTGGAAGAGGAAGAGGAAAATGAAGACAAAAAAGAAAAAGGGGAAGGAGGTAGAGGGGAAAGAAGGGAAGGAAGAGGTAGAAGAGAGGAGGTGGGGAAGGGGGAGGAGGAGAAAATAGACACCCTGAATAGTTGCATATCTACTAAGAAAATACAATTTGTGTTAAAGTCTTTCAAAGAATAAAACTTCAGCCCCAAATTGTTTCAGTGATGAATTCTTCCAAACATTTAAGGAAGAAACAATCTTAAAAAAAAAAAAAAAACCTTCCCAGTCTGTACCAGAAGATGAAGGGGCTAGATGCTTCCAACTTATTTTCTGAGGCCAGGGTTATCCTGATACCAAAATTAGATATGGACAGTACAAGGAAATGGCAGATTAGTATCTCTCATGAGCATGGACACAAACATCCTTAACAAAATATTAACAAGTCAGGTCCAGTGATGCATTAAAAAAATACATCACAGTAAGGTCAGATTTATCCTAGGAGCAACGTATCTTGACGTATTAACTAAACAACAACCAAAAAACCCATAATTATCTCAACAGTATGAGAAAATGCACTTGATACTATTCAGCATCTCTTCATGATAAAACTCTCAGCAAGCCAGAAATTGGAAGTTTCTCAACCTGATAAAGAGAATTGATGAAAACAAAAACAAGAGCAAGAAAACTCAGATAGCATCCTACTTAGTTGTGAAAGATTTAATTTTTTCTTTATGATCAAACCAAACTGGGC